GACTTTAATTGTCAGTTGCTATTTGCTGCTAGTCCATAAGAGCATGGTTTCCTGTTAACTTCCTTGCGCGTGCATTGAAGAAGACCACTAGCCATGATGAAACTATAATCAAATATAGTAACAAATGATGTATTTTGTAAAGAAGACAGCATGTAATTTAAGCTTAAGCACGCATAATGTTCTCGTGACAGTGTTAGTGGGTGGATGGATACATACACTGAATGTGCAAAGTGTGTAAAGCGTCATCGTTGATCACGAGTTGAACAAGCTTGTTAATCGGAACTGGATGGTGGCATGCTATGTGGCGGTGCAGGCAACCAATTCAATCGGCACAGAGTAGGAGGCGAATGTGACCAGAGGCATTTGATCGAATAGCACTATCATCGTGCTGGGTGAGGTGGCCCAAGTACATGAAGGGAGGGTTCTCCGAGACAGACTATCACATCGTTACTATGGCTGATGGCAAGCCGATATTGATAAAAAAATTGAAAGTAACACTCTGTCTCCACTAGGTTATCACCCCTGTACACTGACGGGAGACTTGACAACCACATAGCTACATAGGAAATAGAATAGACGCTGGGGAAATTAGGGTGGGTTAGGACACGAACGGATCGTTATAGCTTTCATCTCATCTTCCTGTAGAAGTCCACTGCATTAGAGAGCAAGTCCTTTCGGTCTAATACTTCGGAATATACGCGTTCCTAAAATTGCTGGATTTCTACTTTTTCTGCCTTATTTAGTTAGTAAATATCACTCAGTAACAAATACTTTGCCTACTAATGCTCACTAATAGGCTAAGGTCAATTCGACCTAAACAAATGTATGGCGAGACTCACAGCTCTCCTCCTATGTTTCTAGTGCTCTTAGAACACTAGGGGAATATTAATCAGCAGAACAAACACAAAGTTTAGGGAAGGGGGAAGCGAAATCGCGCTTAGGCAGGGGAGTCGGCGATCCTGTCATCAGATTCGAATTACATCCTTACCCCCTCCCTGAAAGGCCCGTTAAAAAAGCATAAGTATTACGCAAATCCACAAGGGCTAAAGACATGCTAGGGCCCGAGTCCTGCTAGAAAACATATGGACACACGACTTACCAGCAATAAGCACACTATCTTCACCAAAGACCTCTTTTTCCGAAGTTCACCTCTCTATTACTTTATTTGGGAACTCAGCATAAAGAAGGCCCTCCCATTTTCACTGTCGCACAAAACATGCTGTTTTCATGCAGGCGCGATCTGCAGCAACTCCGGTCGTCAGAAGAAAGTAATGCTGCCCAGTGTCATAACATAAATGATAAGGAAATGTTTGGCGGCATTTGCAAGTCCTTATTACCGTTAACCGTGGACGAATTTGTGTGGTCATTTTCTAGATTTATCTAACCGGCTGCTATGTATAACAACTCCTAAGTGCATCAAGATGTCCCAATACTATTTGATTTAGTTTTGTCCAAACTGTAAAATTTGCTTCTACGTTATACTCGATCTTGTTTACTTCGATCTTAAGACTCGACATTAACTAAATGCACAAATTCGCCAAAAGGCGAACACTTGATTCAAATTACCATAACAATTGCAATCTGCAAATTATTAATTAGTGACACTTTATCGGTACACTTACCATTACCTTCAGATACATCACCTTGACCTGTACGTACCAACAGAGGGTTTTTTTCACTATAATCGCCGTAATTATTTGCAAAGATAACAGCGGTTGATTATGGCTAATCTGTTGCCTCCTCGATGTCAAGGCAGTGTTGTTAGTGCATTAAAATATGACATTTAGCAGTCCATGAGTGAAATAATTGCAACCTTAAATGATACGTACTCCAGAAATTTCAAACAAGCAATTCCAACTACTCATGAATATGTCCTAACAATCAATTTGTCAATTCTTTTTATTATCATATTTTTCCTTCGATTCTGCTGATAATTTTTCAGCAATCCTTACAAACGTGTTTGCAAAAATTTCTTCCTTTTGGACATTGCTTCATCAAGCTACTTCTAGAGCATTTTTTTAAGCTCACTATGCACCCTTTTTTTCTATCTCTAATGAAAAAAATTGTTGTTGATGTCGAAACGAATCCTTCATGCATCCACATTACATTGCAGCTATAACGAATGAAGTATAACTTTACATTTGTTCCTGCGTGACTTTCTATTCATACCCCTACCTAATTGTGGGATGTTTAATATTAGCCAAACAAAAATCCATTCGTCTGCCCACGGCTGTTCATTAAAATATGATTTTGAAACACTGTTGTGTAGAATTTTTTGGCGGATAGACTCGATTTATAAAGTAGAGAAGCCGGTTGACAGCCACAGGCCTTAAGTGCCATTCCTAAATATCCGTGCCCTAAGGTATGAGAGCAGCGCAGAGCACAGTTGAGGGTGAGTGGCGAGCGCACACACTAAAGAAACGCTAGAATACACACTACATGTTCTCACCAGTTATACAGTTTGAAATCCAACCTGCCTCTTTGATGCCCAATAAATTAGACAACTGCACTCACCATTGCATCCAGGTGAATAATCAGGACCAGAACATTTGCACGTGGGAATTCGCTTGTTCGACAACTTTAAACCAGATGAAAAGGGCTATAGTCAATTGCAAAGGCAACATTGAATTATTGTGGCAAATTTATTTATGGGGATATTTATTAAGTCAGCCCTGAAAAATAAAAATTAGGTTATGTTCTTCGCAGTACCTAAAAGGTGAGTAGCATGTTGATGCAGACAAGTTGGTGCTGCTTGATTTGACCTGTGTCGAATGTCATGCAGCCATTGGACAAGGGGTCGCTTTTACATCTGCAGAGGCCATTGGTTGGTCAATGGGGTTGACGACACCTGTCTCTGACTCCATGAAGTTCTTTACCAAGTTTGGTGAAGTTGTGCCCACCCATTGGAAAATGACGAAAGCAAAGTGTCTAAACAAAGTCACAAGAACTATTTTTACGCTACCAGGGTACACCGCGATAACCCTCTAGGGATAAAGTAGTTAGTTCAGTAAAAAGTGGCAGTAACCATATAATTCTTCTAGTGTATCAGTCAATTTACTGAAAAGTAGTTTCTCGTGTTGGAGGAATTTAAGAAGGACCTCCTTGAAACAACTAGCTGCATCTTAATTTGGATCAAATAGCTTCAAGACAAATGATAGGAATTACCAAAAACTCCAGACAAAGAACTCAGGGTCAAAATATACTTATCCGCAAAAAATAATCGTTAGTCAACACTATTTCGAGTAAATTTAAAGGAACATGATAATAGTCACAATATGGATTTACCGCCTAATGCCTTACCAAATAACGCCTTCCAGCAAAAGTATAGCAATGAAAATATAAAACAGTAAGATTTCATTTAATATATGTGGGTGTATGGGCATACAAAAAATGGAAAACTTAAAAAAATTAAAAAATGACGCATTTAATATGTAGGAATCAGCACTACCAAAGGAGGATTTATAAATCCCTCGAAAAAGGCGGCAGCACGAATAAGGGGACAGGGTTACCTTAGAGACTGTAACATTACTTCAAAGTAGGGAGGCGAAATAACCGCACATTTTACCGAGAGCAACTTCACGGAGGCAACAACAGCTCCATGAGGCATTGATGAGGTCAAGTAGCAACTAGCAGATTTGCTAATAATGGAAGGAAAAGAGTGTATTGAGGCGCAATTCGTGGGCTTTGAGCTTAACCGAGCAAAGAAGGAGCACACATAAGAAGTAATAGATAATCGGGTACGAACACAATAAAACCATCCCCTGGAACCCCGATAAATTCCCACAGCGAGAAGTGTGTCTGAACACCATGCGAGCGGCCTCACGGCAGCGGCGTGGGTGATCATACCTCCTCAATTCTTATGCATGCCAAGTCTAGAGGGAATCCTAACTTGATTAGAGAGAACTCTTCAATCGGTAGGTGACTAAATTCCATGCACCAAGAAACAATGACTGACATCGTCGGTGCTACTGGTACCACTGAATCAAAAATGTTCGCATCGCCATGAATACAAAACGCATTTAGACACACGACGTTGATGATGGGGTTTCAAAAACAAAACACGGTGATACAAAAGCCTATTCAGTTTGTATGCACATTAAAATATCTTAAAGTGAGCCTACTTTTACCGTATAGGAACAAATGTAGGCAATTAAAGTCCCAATTCAAATTGTTTATGCTTTTATTCAAAACAGGCTGGCTTTTGCGCCCAGTCATCTTTAAGCTGGTACAACTTGTGCAGAAAATGGAGCAGGTGGTGCATAAAAATGTCGAAGAAATATGAGGAAGGAGGAAGTACCAGTAAGCAGCAAATCCTTGTCCCTATCCATCCGAGGTGGACGCAGTGGCCGTTTATGTTTCGTTGCCAGAAGTGACAAATCTCTCTCTAGTAGGCAGGGCATTTGTAAAATGTTGTGGGTTATCATTCACTGGTTATTGGACGGTTAGTTTTAGGCTGTAAATTTCGCACATATATTTTGCAAAAATTCCTACTCACTTTCCATCTTTTATGTCGACGCTTTTTGGCTGACACCTGACTGACCATGGTTACTAACTGCCTATCAGTTGTTTGTCAGAAGGGTGGAGTCAAATGCACAGCATGTCAGCACCACCCGTGGCAAGCTAATTCCATAGATGAATTGTGACTCCCTACAATAACTACGAAACTGCAATTCCTTTGAATTCTTTTTTTGTGCTGAAATTCTCCATCTTCTTCATTTCTTGCATTCTACAAGCGCTTCTACCCACCTTCTTGTGAAGAAAATAACTTGATATCAACCCCCTATCTCTAACCTTTGACTCACGTATATGTTTACCAACATTATTTGCTATGCCTTGGCTGATTGTCATGTTTTTGAAACATCACGATACATTTGAAGTTACTTGCCTGTTTGTACCTGGTATCTTGACTTTTGATTAAAAATATTTACTGCAATTTTTTTGTGATATTTTGTATTTTAGTATCTCCCTTTATTAAACAACTCCAACACAATAAAACGATTTTTGTGTCAGGTTGATACATCATCCTCAGAGGTAATTGATGGATCTTTGTCATAGAAATTCTCCTACTTCCAAGAATGCTTAGCGTATCTTGTTGCAAATATACAAGCAGTTTATTTTAAGTTGACTGCATTGATGCCACGTCTAATTTTGCAGAAGCGGATGGTGGTGCATACCTTTACTAGGATTGTGGCCACGCCAAAGCTGATTAACCACACTACCTCAACTTATACAGTCCCACAAACAGCGCAGATGCCCATCAGGAATAGGATTTAATGCTTATAAAAACGGTACAAGCACAGAACTGGCAGTCATGGTTGTTTCAAATGGTCCTTTCGGTCCACGTCAACACCACTCATATGTCTTAGGGGAGCTAACCACAAAACTTCAAACACTCAACATCCACGTTCATTTCCAGACCACTGATATTGCCAATTTTATGTCACCCTTGAAAGGTACCTAAAATTAACTCATTCATAAAGTTAAACATTTTACGGTTTTTAACTCGCGTTTCAATTTATACCTTCACACGCACTTTTCTTCACGCACTGCAAATGGTTTGCCAAGGGAGTGTGTCAACAAGTGTGATTGTGGTGCCATCTGATGTGACCTCTAAGTCTCACCTCTTTCTCTTCTGATGCAGTCGCCTCTCACCAATTGGCTTTAGTCTTGTGACAAAAGGAGCATAAAAATGAGGGCTACTGCAGCTGAGCGAACGCACCACCTCTGACATGCAGCTCTTTCTCTTCAATAGCGTACCTTTACTGGAGGCGCTTCTACCACTCTGTATTCTGCGCTACGGTGAGTTACAAATTGCCTTATGTTATCGCATCTTGATCAGGCTCCACCATCGAGTTCATAATTGACAGCATCCTGGAGGATGCACCTAAATACTTGGCCAAACATGCTAAAAAGTTCCATGAGGAATCTGTTGAAAGCTTTGCTCGCTCTCCCTCTCAATGGAGAGGTAATTTATACCCTCGGGATTTGCATCAATGCATCATAGTTAGTCATAACTCCTCTCTCTGTAGTAAGTTATGTACACCATACTGTGCCATATTTATTTCATCTTCCTCTTTTTTCTTCGTCAAAAGACTACAGCCTACAATAGTGCACTACAATTTCATAAATCTAGCGTTTAAATGCGCCAATCATGGACTGTTTGCAACCAAAATATTTTGCTCGTTTATTCCGATGCAAAACTTGCAATCATGCTATAAAACTTCTCCCACATTTACTTCTACTTTTTTGAGGGCAACG